ATTGTGGGGGGCATTTATAATATCTATTGTATCAAAGGACAAAAAAAAAAAGGATACTTCTCATGTAGGTTCTACTGTATTATTTTAAATAATAATAAAAAAATCAACAAACATTATTAATAAATCTAGCAGGAAATAAGATATTGAAAAACTTACAAAGAACAACGAACTAAAAAGAGATTTATTTTAGGTACCCAAATAAGGTATCAGAACAATTTTTTTTTCCTATTAGAAAAAAAAAAGAAGTAAAATTTTGATTATGTAGTATATTTAAGTGGAAAAAAAAAAAAAACTTTTTTTGTTGGAATGACAAATAACAAAATAGAGGCCAGGGGAGGGAGATAGAGATTAAAACAATATAAAATCATATTTTGCATTGATATTTTTGAGGGGAGATCATAAGAAAATTTAAAAGCAAAACCAAAAAAAGCACCTCTCTCATTGAAAAACAACACCAATCTGATCATTTTCCTATACAATAGGACTCAAATCAACAAAAATAAAACTACAGCAACAACTTTGTCAATTTCTAAAATGAAAAAAAAAAAAAAAAAAAAAAAAAGAACAACCTATAAACTATCTTTTACATCTAGCTTTAGCTTGCATTAATATAGCAGTAGGAGTAGCTGCATTTTTTAAAATAAAATTTAAAAAAATTAAGTTTGAGCCACATGATATGTATTTTGAAAATCAAGATAGCTACCTTGGTTAATAATAATAAAAAAGTTTTTATAAAAAATATATATTACATGAGAAATTTTAAAAATTGCTGAAAAAAAAAAAAAGCATTCATATTTCAAATCTTTGTTGATACGGTACAATTTGGATTATAGATTAGAAACACAAGGTAATAGATAAAATCCAATTGGATTCAATGTATTATTACCATGTATTTCCAGTTTTCCATTAGTAAAGTACAATTTGGATTAGAGAGGTAACAAGACCAAATAATCCAATTACATTAGTAAGTGCTATATTTCAGTAATACTAACATTGTTACTGAAAAGTTACCTAGAATTGATTCTGATTTGGTCTTGTTACCTCTTGGGACTTCTTCAAAACATTGAAAAAATATTTTTATTTCCCTTGTGCACAAATTATAATTACAATGAAACATCTCCCATGAGCCTACTGCAGCCTAGTAAACATGGATAATCCTGGACTCTCCCATAGGTGGTCTCTTATTAGAGGAAGGATTAGATAAGGACATATCATTGATTTCTTAAAAGTGGCCCCTCATCACACTAGGTGCTCATGGGAGACTTTATTGAATCACATCACTGACGCAGTTACAAAAAACAAAAAAAAAAAAAAAAGATATTTAAAAAATAGAGCAGTCTCTGATATTGCTTTTCAATCTTTTATTCTCTTTCCACTCCATTTAAAAATATAATTTTAGCATTTTACACAAATATAATTCTTTTTGATTCCAAGGTTAAAAAAAGAGAGGCATAGAAAAGAGAGGTCACATATTCATCAATTACTTTATTATTATTTTTAAAAAAGATATGACACAAAAGTATGTGAGCTTTAAAAAAAAAAAAAAAAAAAGAAATTTGCACATATATTTCACACTTCTTTCTCTCTCTCTCTCTCACAAGAAAAACAAAAATATAATTTTCTGGGATATTGAATGGCACAATTTGGATTACGTGTTTAAAAGAGGAGCAAAAAAAAAAAAACCATCTAAATAGGTAAATCTGTGAGAAGTTTGTGGCGACTACACTTTGCTTCAGCGAGCCGAACTAAGACGGCATCGGCGGGCGTCAACACTTCACTACGCATGCGCGTGGGATGTCATCAGAGACGCTGGACTTAGCGGTAAACAACAAGGCTAGTATCTAGTCGCCTAGTATCAAAGTGTAGTCGCCACAAGTTTAACAGTAATTATTGTAAAATGTTAATTATTAATTCTTTATTGAACTGTCATATTCAGCAGTTTATAGATGTGAAGATTTTTTTTTAGAAAAAATAAAATAATAAAAAAGATAAACCTCCAGCCAAGAGATAAATGTAAAGACGGTCACACATTTTTACTGTCAGTAAAGACAGAGTGTATTAGGTTATTTTAATAAAAAAAAAAAAAAAAAAGAATCATTTTCTAAACGGTGATAAATAGTTTCAACTCTGATGGGTGTTTCAATTAAATGAAATAATGTGTCACAGAGTGACAATAAGCTTGGTTCTTACTTCAACACAGCACAAATGATATAAAGCTCAATTTGGATATTATATATAGATTGGAAACACAAGGTACACAAGTTAATAACACCAAATAAATTAATAGTGTAAGGTTTCAGTAACAGCATTGTTACCATCATCAAACAAAAGACTAAAAAGTTTAATCTTTCATCTTTTGATGGTAACAAATGTCAGACTATTAATTTATTAGGATTTGGTCTTATTACCTTGTATTTCTAATCTATCTATCTAAACTGTGTCCTATCATCATTTGAAATACAAGGTAATAAGACCAAATACAACTTATTGAAATGTTTGTGACATTTCATTAACAGCATTATTATTATCATCATTCAGTACTTTTGTCTGATGATGGTAACAACGCTGTGTTTCGGAAACGTCACAAACACTTTAAATAATTTGGATTTGTTAATCTTGTATTTCAAAGTTAGCATACGATTTGTAGGGAGCAAATTAAACTCTCAATGTATAGGTCTGAAAAATTATTAGAGAGTGGTTCATTTTCCTTTTATAAACCCCCTCAAAAACTTGGAAAAATATATTTATATATCAAGCAACAAAATTTTCTTGGAAAATTTCATTGGGAAAAAAAAAAAATTGTTTATCATTTTTCTAACAAAAGCAGATATACAACATTGTTTATAGTAAGTATACTGGATATATCTATATAATGACATAAATTCTTTATCGAATATATAGGAAATAGTCGTTTAAAAAGTGCATGTGCAAATATGGGATATGTAAATATAGGATTTTTATAAAACAAAAAAATAATAACACTAGTGAAAAAAAAAAAAAAAACCACACACAACCTTGTGTGAAACAATGAATTGAAGAAACAAAAAACTATATAAATGTAAAAAAAAGAACAAAAAATACCAAAGAAGAGAGATAGAAAGGTTAAACAAAGAAAGAAGAGTTAGGAAAGGAAGAGGAGGGGGCAGTGTTATAAAATAGAAACATCTTTGGTCTAGACAAGTCAGTCGAGTCTATGTACAGTAGAGAGTTTTAGACCGTCACCTTCGAAGTGGGAAGTGAACACCTCTTAGACGATTCCTTTATCAGTGAAGTGATAGTCCAATGGATCCTCTTCGTCTGGCAGCAAACAGAAGCCTGTTAGATCACACACACTTGCTACAAAACTATGGGGGTCCAGCAGTAGGTAGATCTACTAATTATGTAGGGTATAAAAGAAAATTAGACCTAATCCAAATAATTTATAAGTGTGTGACATTTCGGCAACAGCATTGTCACCATCATCAGACAAAAATTGGATTTTTTATTCTTTTGTCTGATGATGGTGACAATGCTGTTGCCGAAATGTCACACACTAATAAATTATTTGGATTAGGTCTTATTTTCTTTTATTATAATCTATAATCCAAATTGTGCTTTATCATATGTAGGGTATAGTAATTGACTTTTGAGATTTACTGATTGATTCCATTGTAACATAAGATCCTTAACAATTAGAACTTGATGGGAAAGCAAGCAAAAAAAGGATTATTGTTCACCTTAACAAAAAAATATTTAGAATACTCTTACAATTTTCAAGAAAATGAATGATAAATACACCTTTGAAGAACAAAAGGTAAGACCAAAGAAGGATTAGTTAGCTAAACTAATAGAATGGTTTGGAATTAGTAGTTAGACAATGAGGTGATGATAGTTACATAGAACAGGGGGCATTTCATGATGGTCAACAGACCATTGATATCTCAGATAGGTCATTACAGTAACTAAATTACATATGGGTAAATGCACTCCCAAAACAACACAAATTAGCTTTGAAAAAATGCTATTAATATAATTGCTGATAAACATATAAGCTAAAAAGACCAAAATAAATGAATAATGTACAAAGTTTCAGTATTAAAACTCTGTTACATCATATACAATGTATTTATTTGGTGTCATTAGCTTAGGTTTCAAATGTATAATCCAACTTGCACCTTATCAATTTTCAGTAAGTATTGTTTGCTTTCCCAGCAAGTACTATCTGAGTGAGTGCAGTTCAAAAATGGAATTATACTTGAGTGGAAACGCTGATAATACCCCGTTATTTATTCCAATTAGTTTAAATTTGGTTAGAAGATATAGAAATTTTGAAGAGAGAGAGAGAGGAAAAAAATATTTGATTAAACTTCATTGACAGATGCACACAAATATTATTATAAAAAATTATAAAGCTATTTTTTAAGGCTGTTTTCTTTCTCTTTTTAAATATTATAAATTGAAAACTACTTTAACAGACAAAAAAAGTACTACAGTCCAACTTCAATAATTCAACACTCTAAAGTGATCTGAATTTTTGGTTGAACAAAAGTAAGTAGGCTGATTAAGAGAAAAACGGTTGAATTATAGAGATTTTACTGTATTTCAATTAAAGATAAGAAGGTAACAAGCCACAAATAAGTAAGGTTTCTATACAAGTATAGTTACCATCATTAGACAAAAGTAATTAATGTACTTGTATAGGTATCAAGAAAGGTACCCGTAGAAGTTGTCAAGAAAACTACAGAAAGTCACTAGATGAGTTGAGAATGATGGTCACTAACAGATTTTTTTTTTGCTTATCCCTAGTACACGTGGTACAGGCCATGATAATCATGGTGGGTAGTTAGCGACTGCTTTTACTGTAAGTGTACCACATGTCTACACATGTGAAAGCAGTTCGACTTTGCACTTACAAATGTGCCAGAGCCCCGTTTGGTTACTTGCACTCGCTGGTGGGGTTGGACTTTTGCAAGAATCGGGGGGCCATTGGAGCATTTTTTTTTTCTTTAAACAGAAAAAAGTGTTCAATGCGGGGATCGAACCCGGGTCGTAGTGGTCGAAAACCAAACGGTTTAACCAGCCTTTAACTAACAGATCAAATTGAAGAATATTTGTCCATAATGTCATCAAAAGTTGAACTTGATAGACACTAACAAAAACAACAGTATTTTTTTGTTTGTTTGTAATGGTAACTATGCTGTTTTAGAAACCTCACTTTAAAAAAAAATAATAATATATATATTTGAATTTGGTCTTTTTGTTACCTTGTAATACTGTTGTATTTAGGGCAATAAGAGAAAACAATGTTAGCTTAAGATGATTTGAGTCTCATCAGTTGTTTTGTTAAGTTCCATAAATGAATTTGGTGAAACCACTAATGAGTTAAGCCCTCTTAAACTGATGTTTGTTCTCATTGCAGCAAGGACTGTCTCTCAAAGTAGGTTTCATTTATAATAAAAAAAGAGCTTAATTTGATAAATAAGTGCCATCTAAAAATAGTCTTTGCAATCACATGAATTGACAGATGCTTCAGAAATCCAAACCCAATTCATCATGATTGTGAAAAAAAAAAAGTTACTCGGTGACATGTCAATTTTTGAGTTTTTTTTTTTTAACAAAGATATGCATTTTTTCCCTTAGAAATTCAATTATGTAATTTTTTTAAACTTTCATCTGTAAACCAAATTGTGCCATTATAAAAATATTTATATTAAAAAACAAAATTGGTATTTCCTAACCACTCTCATGAACATTCTAGATGGAAGAGTGGTCAGGAAATGCCAATTTTGTTTTTAATAACAACAACTGACCATTTCTCTATTTTTCACATATATATGCAAATATATTTGAGAGAGAGAGAGAAAGGTGGGGGGAGAATATTTAAAGAACATCTCTATGTATGTGATTGTAAGAAGGCTCAATATTATTATCTTATTAAAACAGATAAATTCTCATTAACAAAAAAAAAAAAAAAATTTAAACCTCCCCTTTTTATCGGACAGATACACAAATAAGAACATAAATAAATAATAGTACAAAAGTGAAAGTGCATTGGGGATCAGGTTGATAAATTAAGAAAAAAGACATCTATTGATTATGTAACAAAAAGTTGCTGATGGCTTTTGAACAATCTGTCAAAATAAATATTCTATAAAATATTCTTTAAAAAAAATCAATGATTAGTTGATATTTATTTGTTTCTTATCCCCTTATGTAAATATTACACAAATTCCATGAGTTCATGCTCTACGAGCTGTTTGATAAGCAGCGGCCTCTCCCAAAAGTCCTGTTTAGTACATCTAATGCAAGCCAAAATGTGTTCTGGAGCTGCAGGTGCCAAGCAGTGTTGGGCATTAAAAAATTATTTTTCAATTAAATTGTTAATTGACTAAGAAATTAATTGCTAATAAATTAATTGCAATTAAATTAATTACAATTAATTTATTAGCAATTAATTTCTTAGTCAATTAACAATTAAATTGAAAAAAATATTTTTTTAATGCCCAACACTGATAGACAAAAACAAAACAAAACAAAACACAGTCCAATGGAATATTAGAGCGGCCTGGTAGACAGTGTTGGGCAAATATTAATTAAAATGATTTATTAAAGATTAACAATTAATTAATTGTTAATTGTGAAAATTACAATTAACAATTAATCAATTGTTAATCTTTAATAAATCATTTTAATTAATATTTGCCCAACACTGGTGCCAAGCTACATTTTGGGCAAGTGGGGTAGATTTTGTTATTATTTTCTATCTTCAATGGCTTGAGATGGCCTGTTCTAAATCTTGTTAGTGTTGTTTGATGTTTATTTAGACAGATGGATCAAGCCATCAGCAACTTTTAGTTGCATAATCAACAGATACCTTTTTCTTAATCAATAATTAAACAATAAGCAGCAAAAACTAATAATTGAAAAAAAAAAAAAAAAATTGAAACAAATAGTAAAATGTTGGTTGAAACTGAGTTTTACACAGTGACAAAATACCATTCAAAAAAAAAAAATCCCTTCCAAAATAGTAAATAAAAATGATAATTTTTTTTCAGTGCCTTAACAATTTGGCAATACTTTAAAAAAAAGGTACTTTCTACTTATTTTATATATGAATTTAGCAAAAAAAAAAAAAATGATAAAAAATATATAATCAGAGAAGTCAAATTTATTTTTCATTAAAAATATATTTAAAAAAAAAAAAAGAACATATTTACATGTTAGATAAAAATTATCATTTTCAAAAAAAAAAAAAAGATAATCTTTCTTTTTGCTAAGAAAAAAAGGTAAAAAAGAAATCCAAACAAACAGTGCACATATATCCTAACACAATCTTATATAATAGCTTAGTGCATTGCTTATAATATAAAACATAATAAGGTTGATATCGTTAAAAAGTGATATATAAAAAAAGAGGGGTGAGAACAAAAAAAAAAAGGCATTAAAGAACCAAAAAAAAAAAAATGAATACAATTATAAAATGATACGATGACAAGATTTGAAAAAAAAAAAAAGTGCAAACTACAGTCATCAAATCTCTCCCAAAACATTTCCCTTTGAAAAAAGACTATAAGGTTGAAAAATCTTTTCTCAATGTGTGAAATAAGTTTAAAAAAAAAAAAAAGAGAGATAATTCTTTGAGATTTTCTAATTTGAAAAAGAAATATATATATATATTGAATAGACTTCAAAAATTTTTTTAAATGAGTCTTGTGAATGTGCGTTGCTTTTTAAATTAAAAAAAGAACTGGATGTACAAGGTAATCTATAATCCAAATTGTGCCTTATCATTAAAATAACTGGGAATGTGAGTTAGGATAGATTTGTGACTGGAAGTTAAGAAAGAGGTGTCAAATAACTGAAAAAAAAAAAAAAGAGGCAATTTACAAGAGAAATGGAGAAGAGAGAGATATAAATAAAAGTAAACAACAGGTATAGGAGAGGGACACTATGTACAACATGGAGGTTTACATGACGTCAACAAAAAATTCATGGGGGTTACCCATGGCTAAACGGAAGGATTGCTTGCTGCCAGAGAGGTAGGCCGACTCTATGAGATGCCGGTGGTGTGACCTACTGGACTTGACGCTGCGTTCGCTCTCGCTGGAACCCCCTCCTCCATTCTCGCAGCAGGACTTGCCGCTGACAGGCTTACACAGCAGGTCCGGGTCACTGTGTCCCGGGCTGGTGGACTTCCGGAGCTCCTTCATACCAGGAAGCTCATGGGTGCTCCCAGCTGGCACAGCATCAGAGTCATTTAGCAGATGGTGGCTTACCCAAGTATAAAAAGAGCTTTGTACTGGGCTACATACCCCTAGGGTGAAAAATACACAATGACTTTAAACTACATAAGTATAGAGCCTTGAATTAGGAAAGTATAGGTGCTACTCAGAGATGTAGAGAATCTGTTGGGAGTAACAAATGATGCCATATTGTTGAAGAATTTAACACTTTTACCCAACCACAGTTACTATAATTTTGCCACAAGGGCCATGCCAAACCTGGATCTAGGTTGTTGTTGTTGTTGTTTCTTATCCCCTTGTGTAAAGATTACACGAATTCCATGAGTTCATGCTCCTCGAGCTGTTTTATGATGAGCAGCGGCCTCTCCCAAAGGTCCTGTTTAGTGCATCTAATGCAAGCCAAAATGTGCCATTGTTCCATCGTCAATAAGTTTATTGTTTGGTGGGTGATTGTGGATCTAGGTGAAGGAATCATGTGTTCCAGAAAATATCCACCAAAGAATGAAACAACTAGGGTGATCCACACCTACTGTTTGAATCCCATTTTCTAGCTGAACACCAATTCTAATATACTTGGTTATAAGCTTTAAAAGAGTTAAAGAAGTAGAGAAGATCAGAAAAAATACATGGTATAAGCTTGGCTTGTCAATTCAAGAAAAGGTATTGGCAAAATTTTAGAAATTCAAAATAAATGAACATCCAGTTGAATCCAATGGATGGATATCTACTATCAGCAACATTTTTTGGCATGATCAGGGTCCGATCTTCTATTATAGAGTCCATCTTCTTTAATTAATCACCCCAAGAGATCAGAATTTTCAGCTGAATTGAAGTTGGTGTTGAATTATAGTTGCTAAGACGATTATCAATTCATTCTATCATTCACTGCAAGTAGACATTTTCCTAATTTTGGGTGTTGGATGATATACTGATAATTTAAAGACTGATTTGGATTTGATTGGGAATAGTTGGTTGGATTAAAGAGGTTCTACTGTACTTGGTTAGAGTGTTTATTCAGGTGGTAGAACAAGGTTGAAAACATCTGCTTAAAATAAATGAACCTACGCAACCGAGGGCTTAGTTTATAGTTGACAGTGAATAGATCACTGTGTTTCTTTATCAATCTTTTATATAGATATGGCAACCAGTTAGTTTGATGCAATATCCCTATATGTCTTTGTTAGTGGTTATACAATGCATATACAATACATTGCAAAAGTGTCCTTCAGAGAGAGTCTTACCGTAGAGTTGCTAAATAGTGAAAATGGTAATTTTGGTGATCAAAACTATTTGTAGAGAGGCATCCTCTCATTGAGGTTCTACTGTCTAGGTTTTATAAACGGACCTTTGGGAGCAGCCGCTGCTTATGATCAAACAGCTTTAGAAGTATGGACTCATGGAATTTGTGTAATCTTTGCACAAGGGGATACGAAACAATAAAAACAGTTTATATAAACACGCCAGTCTTGGCTAATGAGTCCAGTTTACTTCAATCAGCATTTAGCTGCAGACAGATTCCATCAACATGCTGTGACAATGCACTTTGGTTTGCTTCCTGCCTGAAGATCTTGCTTCAGTCAATAAATCCTTTTATTTTCAAGGAGTTCCATTTCTGTACAAGACCCACTAACCCCGGAGACATTATTAGGAATTCCGGTCCCAAGCCCTGAGGAAAAAGGAGGAGGGAGCAGTAACAAGCTCACTAAAAAACCTGGGTTCAGCTGGCTTGGCTGATAGTACCCTGTAAGGGCTCCTAATCCAGGATGAGCAGCATCTGTACATGGCGTTTGTTCCTCATGTCAGAGCGAGCCATTTTATATTGTAGCTAGGTCAGACTGCTACTTAGTAGTGCTC